TTTAGGTTAATAAAAATATTAATTAAATTATTAATTAATTTTAAAGTCATTTAACTAGTTGTTAACAAACATAGTTATAAAAAAATGGCTATTTTAAGTAATAAATTATAATGGATATATTTTTTTTAAAAAGTTGATAATTATAAAATGAATTTTAAAAAAATTATATTTTTGTAAGTTTAAGAGCAAAATTAATTTTTATTCTTATAAAAATTGAGTGTACTTTATATAGATTTAATGTAGCTTCTAAGAAACTTCGAATTTAATACGCATCCCACTTATAAAAATAGAATTTTAGGAAAGAAATTAGTTGATAAATAGAATTTAAAAGTATTTATTAAAGAGTAAAAACATTCTTAATATATTTATAATTGAATACAATAGCTAGAATTATAAACAGAAAATGCTATTAAAAAAATTGTTACGGTCGAACCTCCAATAACGACCACCTCTAAACAGTGGCCACATTTTTAACAAAAATGAATACAAAATAACCGCTGAACAACGTCCAGATTTTATGTTTTCATTAGAAGATTAATTGAATTATAAATTTAAGATGCATCCCTTATATAAAAGCAATGATTTTTAAGGGAAAATTACAATTATAATTATAAATAAATACAAATTAAAAAATTTATTAAAGTGTAAAAATGTTTAAAAAAATTAAAGTTATAATTAAGAAATAAAACATAAAATAAAGAAGAAATTGGCACTCAATTTAGATATTTTGCATTCAATGAGATTGTCACTCAAATTATAGTTTAAAATGTCGAAAAAAAAATATCCCATTCTTAAATTACCCAAGAGGCATAGAAATTTTAAATTCGGAAAAATGTGGAAAAAAGCATCTTAAATTCGATGTTATGTGGTATTTTAAAATGAAAAACTGGATTTGTTCCTTTTAATCTAGAGAATAGCAACACTAAAATTCTTTACGAAAGAGTGAACTTTAAGAAGAGATGTTGGCTTTACTAAAATTTTTTAAATTCTTGAAAATGTATTTAGTCTATACTAAAAGAATTCAATGTTTGTCAAATGAAATAAAAACATATTAAAAAAATACAAAGAAACTCAAATTTAAAACAAGAAATAGCCAAAAAATACAAAAAAACTCAAATTTAGAACAAGAAATCACCAAAAAAATCAAAATAAACTAAAATTTAGAACAAGAAATCACCAAAAAANAAGTTGATAATTATAAAATGAATTTTAAAAAAATTATATTTTTGTAAGTTTAAGAGCAAAATTAATTTTTATTCTTATAAAAATTGAGTGTACTTTATATAGATTTAATGTAGCTTCTAAGAAACTTCGAATTTAATACGCATCCCACTTATAAAAATAGAATTTTAGGAAAGAAATTAGTTGATAAATAGAATTTAAAAGTATTTATTAAAGAGTAAAAACATTCTTAATATATTTATAATTGAATACAATAGCTAGAATTATAAACAGAAAATGCTATTAAAAAAATTGTTACGGTCGAACCTCCAATAACGACCACCTCTAAACAGTGGCCACATTTTTAACAAAAATGAATACAAAATAACCGCTGAACAACGTCCAGATTTTATGTTTTCATTAGAAGATTAATTGAATTATAAATTTAAGATGCATCCCTTATATAAAAGCAATGATTTTTAAGGGAAAATTACAATTATAATTATAAATAAATACAAATTAAAAAATTTATTAAAGTGTAAAAATGTTTAAAAAAATTAAAGTTATAATTAAGAAATAAAACATAAAATAAAGAAGAAATTGGCACTCAATTTAGATATTTTGCATTCAATGAGATTGTCACTCAAATTATAGTTTAAAATGTCGAAAAAAAAATATCCCATTCTTAAATTACCCAAGAGGCATAGAAATTTTAAATTCGGAAAAATGTGGAAAAAAGCATCTTAAATTCGATGTTATGTGGTATTTTAAAATGAAAAACTGGATTTGTTCCTTTTAATCTAGAGAATAGCAACACTAAAATTCTTTACGAAAGAGTGAACTTTAAGAAGAGATGTTGGCTTTACTAAAATTTTTTAAATTCTTGAAAATGTATTTAGTCTATACTAAAAGAATTCAATGTTTGTCAAATGAAATAAAAACATATTAAAAAAATACAAAGAAACTCAAATTTAAAACAAGAAATAGCCAAAAAATACAAAAAAACTCAAATTTAGAACAAGAAATCACCAAAAAAATCAAAATAAACTAAAATTTAGAACAAGAAATCACCAAAAAATACAAAGAAACCCAACAAGAAATCACCAAAAAATACAAAGAAACTCAAATTTAAAACAATAAATCACCAAAAAAAATCAAAATAAACTAAAATTTAGAACAAGAAATCACAAAAAATACAAAGAAACCCAACAAGAAATCACCAAAAAATACAAAGAAACTCAAATTTAGAACAATAAATCACCAAAAAAATCAAAATAAACTAAAATTTAGAACAAAAAATCACCAAAAAATACAAAGAAACTCAAATTTAGAACAAGAAATCACCAAAAAAATTTTATCGATTTTTATCCAAACAAATTTCATTAAATAAAATAAATAAATAAATAATAAGCATAAACATTAATGAATTATTAATTAAATTTAAATATTTTACAAATATTTGTCATTTATTTTATTTTATTTATTGTTTAAGTAGCACTTTCTACGAAGAGTTTAAACAAAAGAAAAAAAAAAACGAGAGGAATGCTAAAGAAAATATGAAATTCTTTAAAAGAATACTTCAACACTTTGCTGGATTTCAATTAGAGAGAAGACATTTCAAACTTGGCGTGATTTAATTTGTGAAAATTAGGTGGAATTCAGCAAACATCGCATAATATTAAGGTTAATTATAGCGCATCCAACTCTATCAAGTTTACTCGGTGACTCGCCATTTTTTGAAATTTTTTTCACTCCTTTAAAGCGCTCACCTTTTATTGAAGACGTGAAAATATTTATGAGAAAACTTAAAAAAAAAATAATAATAATAATAAAATAAAATCTGGAAAGAACAAAAGAGTGCAAAGCAGCTGTTAGATAGGAAAGTGTAATTAACGTATACAATATGTTTCCAAAGTAATATATTAGATGCACCCAAGGTTAAAATTTCTGACTTCTTTTAATCTTACCACGCATTAAATTTAAGAACAGTTTATACAAACATTACTTATTAGAAGTTATGTGAGAGGTTAGAAAAGAATAGTTTTCTACAAAGCAAACTTATGAAAAATGAGATCTTGAGATTACTGAAAGTCATCTGAGATAACAGTTAATATTAAAATCTTCTTAAAAATATGATGAGGAGTTAAGTAATAATAGAACTTCACTGTAAACAATCTTTAAAATGAAAAGAAATAGTATTAAGTGTAAGATCATATTATAAACTTTTACTTATTTCAATTATTTCTAATAATTTATCAGCTTTCAAACTAATTAAGGTTTAAAAAATAGAAAAGGAAAGTGTGTATTATATGCTTGTAATTTGAAGTTATTTATAAAATTTNTGCTCTTATAATTTTTGTTACATTTATTATTAAATAACACTTCTATACTTAAATTAAACTCAGATTAACGTTGTAAAGATAAATAAATAACTAAAAATACTCCATTAAATTTTAATTAAGTGAGTGTAGAATGCAACTGGTTCGTGATTCCATGTTGAACATTCTTGATAAATATTTTTTCATAAGAAAACTCCACCTCTGGCAATTTTTTCCGGACCACAAACTATTTCTCTAATATTATCTGAACAATTTTTATTTATGATTCCTCATCATATATTGCTGTAGGCACATCATAAGTTGAATTGGGATTCATTCATTGGTATAAAGTTGACTCGATCCAAGATCTTCCATCATTGTAACTACAGCAATTTAAATTCCTCCGAGAACTGATCAACAAAACAAAAACAAAGGTTATAAACGGGCCATTTATGGAGTCGATATCGATATGCCCATGGCCATGAAAGATCTAATACCTCTTGTCTTAGGTTAGTTGAAGTTCGTTGGCCACAAGCCAAAAACCTCCGAGAAATTCGCTTCTCGAATTGATTAAGATCATGTTTTACAACAAAAATTCTCTCTCTCTCTCTCTCACGTGAACTTTATTTGGAGATTCTATCAATAAATAATGATTTATATCCTTTGTCCATTCGTGACTATAAATCACAATAAAGTTTATTCAGCTATAACTATTCAATAAGCAGAGTATTATACAACTGCTAAGCGGAATGACCTTACAGAAAAAAATACCTCAGAAATTTAAAATATTTTCTTTAAAATGCATACATTTGAATACAGAATGTATGTAAAAAGAAATTTCCATTTCAGATATCTTAACCGAAAATTTGGCCATATCAAACGTATACAATATAAACTCAATACGCGATTTTTATCTGAACAATTTCACAGCCGGTAGTACTTGGAAGATGGCAATGGGAGACAAATCAACCATAAAATGATCTCACCTGGTGACATCTAATCCAAGTCACGTGAAGGGCCTGTTGACAGAATGGCCTAGCCATATGCAAATTACAAGCAAAAATCCTATCACCTGAATCACAAACGATTATTGGAAGCTGTAAAGAATCTAGTTGGGTGTGGAGCTGAATATAAATTATAGTAAACGAGCCAGGCTATTCTGTATGTCTCCTTTTTCCCTTTACGATTCACTTCATGTGCAGCAGAGAACTTAAATTATGACTGACATTTCTTTCTTTCCTGTTTTTTTTCCTTATTTTCTTCCCCCTGTCTCTTCTTTCAACAAAACTCTCGTTTCGTTTCTCCTATTCTAAGAACCTCGCAGTAGGAGTATCCGAAAAACATAAACGTTTAAAGTTGATCCCAAACATCTGGAAAACATAAGAGATTTAAGAGAAAGAATTATGAACCATCTGGTAGAAAGTAAGAAACAGAATTTATATAACTTTATTCCAAAAAATCAGATTATAAAAAGAAAAGAAAACTAGATAAATGGTCATATAACAAATACCAGGTGAAGAAAAAGAACTAGATCAATCTCTAGTGTTATTATTTTATCTACATTTTATTTGGTAACATATATATTTTCTTAGATTTCAATAGTAAAAAAATTATTATTCTTCTTCTTTTTTTTTTCTTTGAGGAAACCAAATTTGAGCTCGGTTTTCGACATGTCAAGGAGGTGAATAAAAATTGTTCGTCTTTAAATCCCGACCTTTATCTGGAGGTTAGGAATGGCAAAATGCATCTAGAAGGTCATTTGGTTGAAGGACGCCACACGATATTGCCTGATCAATAAATTCCTTGAATAGACGTTTCTTCGATAAGGAGTAAACACGCTCGACTGGACCTTGTCATCTATTTAGAAAAAATACATATATATATTATCTACCAATCTTTTCCTTTCATGCATATACGTATATAAATTTTCCAATTCTACATAAATATGAAAATATATAAGATATATTTAGATTGTTATCCTTAAATTTATTGCTCCTGGTATTAATTTTATACAATAATATAAGAGAAATCATGGCTTACATTATAAATTGAACCTTCTAAATGTGTAATAAAGATGATCTAATGTAACGTCCTCTTTATTATCCGCTCTTATCTTAAAGATAATGGAACCATAATCCTACTTTTAAAGGGAATTATAGTTTCTTTACTCTGTATCCTTAAATCCTTTCATCCATCTTTAATCCGCTTATCCTTATTCCTTATCATTTCATTACGTATGAATTTAGCTTTAGTATAACATGAAGCCCGATCTTCCAGCATCATCATCATTATTATCTTCTATATCCTTATGTAAGAATATTAAAATATACTTTTTACTTCGATATCCCGAATAAAATCTTCAATATATCCTAAACGAATGTAAATTTAACGAAATAAATATGTATTAAAAGTCAAAAAAAACTTTGTCACTTGCTATATTTTAAATAGATAAATACCTATAAATGCTGAATAAAGCGAATATTTGCATCACTTCCACTTCACCTTCAAGGTAAACTTACATATCCAAGAACAATAAAACCATTCAAATATTGGATTTTAAGTTAGGATTTCCATTTAAAAACAAATATTTCTGTCAGCCATTAGGATTTTGGCATATATAAGAATAGTATTTCATTTATGATCTTTCAAAATATATATTTTTTTATATATTTAAACCCGCGCAAATCAATCAAAAGATGACATTTCACGTCGACATATATTTAGCAAGAGATTGGGATGAATGATGGTTTCCTAAAATAGCTACAACTGACAGTAAAATGAAAAGTGCTGCAACTAATGCAGAATGTCTTAAATTACTAGAAAAGCAATAATTGATGTTAATATCTTTAGACAAATCTCATTTAAGTAAAGATATCGAATAGGTACTAATGACAACTTAGTTTACTTAGTTTCTTTATTAGTTAAGTTTTTGCTTGGTTTATTTCTTAGATGCTTCACTTTTTGGTTGATTTACTTCTTAGTTGATTTACCCTATTTCTTTCTTTGTTTATTTTTTGACTAGTTTATTAACCTTTCTCTTTACTTACTTACTTACTTTTCCCTTATCTTTTAAAAAAATATATATATAATATAATTCAGTCGAGAAACTGTGAAAAATTTACAATATCATTGAAAAACTGAAAAGGAATCTACATCATCCTGGATACGAAAAGGAATACAAATCAGTCGAGAAACTGAAAAATTTACATTGTCAGATAAAGAAAGAAATGATTCATCACTTCACAAAGTGAAAGAGATTTACAGTATAAAAGAAAAAAAAAAAAACAAACANTCCGAATTTAAAGATGAAGTTTCGACGTATTCTTTCTTACTTTATTAAAGAGTAGAAACGTTAATAATGTAAATTAATTACATTATTAACGTTTCTACTCTTTAATAAATTCTTTAAGCTACAATTATTATCAAATTTTTCCTTAGAAAGTAAAGAAAAATTACTTTTAAAAAGGGAAAGTAAAATGCACCCAAAATTCAAGAAATTATTTATCATTCTTTAAAGGGGGGTTACTCTATTAATTATATACTTTTTTTTTTATTAATTTTAATTTATTTTAAATACATTATTAACGTTTCTACTTTAATAAATCATATTAAAATTCCAATTTTCTTCTTGAAAATTCCGTTTTACAAGTAAGGGTGAACTTTAATCTATAATTTTTTCTTTCGTTAAAATTTCATTAATTTTTCTTTTATTTATTCTTAATTTTCAATAGATTATATTCTTGGTCTTGTTTTATTTATAATATTTATATATTTAAATTTATTTATGTACTATCACCTAAATCTTAAGTACATGTATACATTAAACAGCTATATATAATTAAGAAAACTTAATGCAGTTAAGTAGTGTACAAATACAGTTTATTTATGTATTACACACTCTTGAAAGAATCTTCACGACAAAGGAAAGTGTATTTTTATTTAACGAAAATCTGTACGTTTAATTAATTAATTGTGATTTTTAATTAATAATACAATTCACTTCATGGTAAATTAAATAGAAAATAATTAATTATTACTTTTCTTTCTGACGTTTAAAAGATTTTTCACTTAATATCCATAATGGTATGAATTGATTTTATAATAAGGTAACTTAAACAATATGATGCTATATTTAAAGAAATAAAGTAAGAAAGAAGGGGGGAAAATTCAATTTTTTTTTCTTTAAAAAATCTTTTTTTGAAAACTTCAAAATGAATGGCCAACTCCAGTTTGTCGTTAGTCAATCGATTTTATTGAAAAAACATACTTAAGACTATGACCTGGAGCTGTGTTTTATCTTTTATTTTTATATATATATATATAAAATATATTTTTTTAAGTTTAAAAAAAACGTCTTTTTGTAGAATTTAGGTAATTTTAACATAAATGAATGTCTTTTCAGTACTTGACAATTTTCTTTTCCACAAGCAGATAATATTTTTATCAATTTTAAAACGAAGTAAATGCCCCTTACTCTATTCGTGTAACGTTTGTACAAAATTTTACAGTGTCAAAAGCACGTTTCCATTCTTAAATTCTAACTGTACATGTTAGCTTGAGAGTTACTTAGAATAAAGATAAAATCTCTAACGGTTAACGAGTAATTAACAATTAATCAAAATTAGTTAATAATCAATAAAAATATTTATGTATACGTATAAAAATCATTAAATTGGGCGGAGCGGATGTTAGAAATTAATTCTTATTCATCTTAAACATTCTCGTTTAAGTATTTTTTGTGGAAAAATTAAGTTTTCATACCCGATAATTATCTAGATAGATGATAATATGTAATTAATTAAAAAATATATATATATATATTTTTAACACGCTGATCAATGGGCATACGTTTTTGTATGGAATTATTAATTTATTTTAGAAATAAAATAATAATAAAAAAAATAGAACCGGAATTACAAATCGATTTGACAATTGAGCATTAATATTTGTAATTGAACGTTGGACATTTCGTAATTAATTGAAATTCATAAATTATGGGTGATGTATAGTAATGGAGAGAGATAACAAATCAATAAATGTTACAATAACTCAGTTGATAGGTCAACCTTTAAATATATTTAAATTTTGCTTGATATTTTATATTAAATTAAATAAAATTACAATTATTATTATTTTTTTAATAAATTATTTAGTAGATTAATTAATTACTCGAGTGTTGTCTCTTATAATAATGTTATAAGTGAATAAAAATTGAGAGATTTTAAGTACAGGGTGGTCCAAAAATTAGTTAACACACTAAATTGTAAATTTTTTTTTTAAGATGAAAATGCTTAATTTCATATTTATTTTATAAAATAACTTTGTTTCCGAGTGAATTATATTCAAATTTATTTATCTTTTAGGGAATTTTAGGGAGAAAAAATGCGAGGAAACTTAGCAACATCTCAATCGAATCTCGATGAAGACATCATCAAATTACATCTTAGATATAAGATTTCTAGAAATTTTTACGGATTACTGACGTAAAAATTATAATAAGAATTCATTAAAATTTTGTTTTTCTTCTTCTCCATTTGTTTTCTTTCTTTCTTAGATTTTTAAATATTTTCTCAATTCTGTAACATTAAATCTCAAGCAAAATAAATGAGGCAATTAAGCTTTAGTAAATGTCCTTAATGGTGAAGTTTTAAAAGACTTTAGTGAGTGTTTAGAAGAAAGAATTTGCATTTTAATAAATTATTTTACTATTAAATATAATAAAATAATGTATAAAGAAAGAAATATTTATAAATTTTAATATAAAATAATATTTAAATGAGGTATTCTATAGAAGAGAAATGACGCTCACATTAATACTTATATAGGATTTATCTACGATAAGAACTGTGCTACTACACTAACAATAATGAATATAGCAAGAAGAATAAATGCTACTGTATATTATTCATAAATCTAGAACACTGCTAAAGTAATATTCTTAATTCAGAACTCGGTAAACAGTAAATTTATAGCAGTAACCAAGCAGTAACATTGATAATTAGTAAACTAAAGGTGTATTGTTTTCTACAGTAACAACTACAACACCGAAAGAAAAACAAAAATGCTACTGTATTAAATAGTGTTAATTGTTTATTCATCAGTAATTACAATTAAATCTTACGGTTTACATTAATCAGTTGTATTATAAACAAACATAGCAACTCAGCACTTTTTCAATCCCCCCTTATCTTCGAATGAACTGGTATTGATCTGATGCAGCATAATCACAAGCTAGAAAACAGGACACCTCTCGGCTTACGAACTGGAATTTTGGTACTTCACCAGAATAGGATTTTCCCAAGAGAAGATAGAGAAACTGGAAACCAATATATAGAAGAAAACAAGCCATATCCAAGCTTTAGACATGTAATGATTAGAAAATTTTCCTGTAATACTTTCGAGATTTAGGATGAGATTAGAGAGTAATCTGAGTTATTTTTACGGTTAATTTACTAACGATTATCTTTCGTAACAGCTTAAATACATGTCTATAATATTACTTTAATTAATTGTTTCTGTAGTGTTAATTTTTCTCCCTTTGAATCTATTAAGTTCGTTCTGGAATTTCCTGTACGGATCTTTTGTATTGAAGTATTACGAAATCAATCATATTAATCAATTTTATTTTCGAATATTCCTGAAAATATCCTCACTTTTTCCCCCCTATTTCCTTTTTCTCTAAATTAGAAATTGAGATTTATCTCTAAGAATACTTCACACTGGCATAATTAATTTGGAACAGACGGAGATGTAATCAGACGAAGGGATGTTTGTCTCTCTTTCAAAATTCATAATTAAGCAGATCTGCTTTAGTTAATAAAACAAACAATGTTTATCATGCAATATAGATAAGACTGTTCTGTAGATAACTTGATATATATGGAGAATATTCATGAGATGAAGCAAGTAACTGATGGACAAGTCAATTTTTTTTTCTTTTTTTTTAACTCTTTTATTTTAGCAGTTTAAGTACGATTTAACGAATTATTTGCATCGATTTGCTTACAGAATTGCTCATTTATTTTTATTTTCATAAAAAAACAATTGAATTTTACTTATTTCGAGTGCGTATTACACAGAAAACTGCGTATAAACTCGTTTAGTATGTATTAAATATATACACTTCGCATCTATTAAGACACCAAACTAGAGAATTTTAAGGGGGAAAAAATCAGCAAAAATGATCAGATTTAAGTAGTGAAGCGGCTTATACATTTCTGTATTGGATGGCCAATGCACATAATTAGAGAATCGATCAGTTGGGTGTTGGTATCATCGGAAGTCCAATTCCTGCAGATGCAGTCCATCGTTACCACCTACAGGAAGTAGTGCAATTTGGATAACAATCGGCTAGCCATCAATCAGCAAGAATGGAATTAAAATCCGGCCGCTAGATTAATTGGTGGGCGAGATGGTTTTCCTGTCACTATGCACTTCACACACAGTTGCAGTTGAGTTAAACTGCTTCTATTAGGAAGCAAAACAGAATGGCATCTTCACCTCTCGACAATTGCTCACCGATTCATTGTTACTGCTCTTATTAAATAACATTTTACTAAATTGTCACGTGTTTAAAGTGAGATAAAAGCGCTCGTTTTTTACCTAGAAATGTATAATAATATAGTTAAAAAATAAAGAAAAAAAAGAAATTTTTTGACTAGTTTTATCGAATAAATTCTCTAAAATAATAATAATAATAAATTTATTGGTGAAATATTTCTGTAGTTGTAAATGTAGAATATATAACTGAAATAAAATATCCTAAATGCATAAATTTCATATTTTATAGTGAAAAATATCGTTATTTGAGCCTATAAACACTTCCAAAAATTGTAAGAAAAATTCTTCTTCTTTTCAATAAAACAAAAATTTCTTAACACCATTCAACAGCCATTTTTATCCGAGGAAAAAAAAATATAATTATAACTTATAGTCACACTTTAAAATATACAATTATAACTCCAGAATTCGTGACATAATGGCTATATAAATAATGCAGAAGCATTGAGTTGCACATCATAAG